CTCTGGTTCCAAATGTTGTTAGTTAGAAAAGAAACTTTAGATACAGTCTACAAGTAATTAACATGGGATTTGAACCAGCACTATTGCCCCACATGCATTCCCTCAATACACTTTGCACACATACATATTCTACCAATTTTCTTCACTTTATGATCCTGCCGTTGAAAATCCTATTTCATTGTGTGCCATCTTTCTGTGCTGGTACGGTACGGGACATGTACGGGAAAGAGCGCCAGGCATGGCACGTCACGTGATGATAGCCCTACCATACATACCACCAAGAGTTCCGATAAGCCCCAAGAGTGTGGGACAGTTACTCCTGATCAGTCCCTGTATGGAAGCCCGCTAGGCAGAATTCCTTCATTGTGTCCTGTTTGGTGCAATGCGATGAGTCATGCCGATGAATTCTTCTAAAAGTTACAGTCAAAGCGAGATGCTTTCTCAAGGTAAACTGCCTAAACTGCGACTCTGATCTGAGGAATCAAGAAGTAAAACAAAGCGCATGATCCTAAAGACAAAACTGTTTTTCGATGCCAATGGCAACTCTTCATCACCTTCCTCTTTTGCAGGGCAGTCAGCCTCTTCAAAAACTATTTCTTCCCAAGGCCCTCGGCATATTTTCGGTGCTGTCCTCGAAGACGATTTCAAATGATTGAGGAAATTGAGAATGCGTCGAAGGAGCATTTCTCGGCTGAGTTGCACAACATCAGAATGATTATCTTCGACGGCAAGGCTATGTTTTTTAACAGCGTCCTCACTTCTTCCTGTCGCGATATCCATGGATTCTTGGAGAAGGAGTTAGTTTTTGAGAAAGTATGACTTGTACGTCCGAAATGTCTTCAAAAAGAGATTCGAAATGTCAAGGCCACTGTGACAGCCTTGAGTTAGGAGAGGTTCCGGGTATAGTTTCCAGAAATCGCAAGGAGCCCAAATTTACCTCGGATGACAACGTTACGCATGACTTTTAAATGTAGGAATTACGCCAAGGGCTGGGTGAATGCCAGTTGCACACTCTTGGGGGTTATGAACTCTTGGTACCATACACACACATACAAAGACAAAATAAAAATGAAATACTCAGCTACGTTTAGGTGTACACTTCTACATTTGTGCAGAGCGAGGTTACTACAGTAGTAAAATGGAAACGTATGCATTACGCTGTCATAAATATTTCCGCACAGTTCCAAGTAAAATCATTAAACTCGATTGAAGGTACCTCAGCATTCATACTTACGGCAGGTGAGGTTCGTGTTGCAGCGCTGCCCGACCAGAATTGCCTTTATCTGCATTTCCCAGTCAAAATGGACAGTTTTTCTGCGTGGTTTTAACTCATAGTGGAGTCGTGGAAATGTAACCACCCTGGCACGAATTCGGCACACCAAACCTTCTGTCTGCAATTTCCGTGGCATTGCTCGTGATAGTGAGTTGATGGCATTTGTAGATTGCAGAGTTTGATGACGTGCTTTTTGCCATGCTTTTTGCAGTCAATCAAGTAGAATCGGTTTTTCGTCCATTCCGGTCTCCAAGATCGGCCGTGACACCACTGTCAATTCGAACATCCGTCAGGTTTCTCACGTCTGCCTCAGTACGTTAGGAAACATAAGAGTGGTGTGGACAAGCGACAGAGCACTGAACAGAGCCTGTGCATTGACATGGAGAACGAAGGCACAAGGAAATCGGTAAGGTATGGCGAATCATGCGCGCCGATTTCATACTACAGTCCATTCATAAAAAGATGAGCCCTGGCTCTGATGAGCTTCCGTTTTTTTGGCGATTTTATCGTACATGGTGCAGTGCCGCGAAATTTAAAACTTGAAAAGGGATCCGAAAGAGGTACCTCAATCGGGGTTCGAACCGCACAATGCACTGTTGCAAGTAGAGTAAATCGGCCTGGATATTCCCAATTCAGTGCTTCCGGAGAAAAACCTGGCCGAAATCCTACTTCTTGTTACGGTTTGCTTTTTGGAGAAACAGACTTCAGAAACATTATTGGAAAAGCATTCCATAGGGGATTGCCAAAACAATTCTTGGTAAAACTCAAAGTTTGACTCATTTATAGCCAAAAGCTCGAAGTCCATCTTTTTCTGAATGGACTGTAAACACTTGCCGTGGACCCGGCATCCGAATCGCCGCTATACTCATCTTGTTTTCCGTCACCAGCACAGGATCAGCTCCCTCAGAACCGGAAGAAGAACCTGAAGACATCTCGACGCTGAACGAAAACACGGACTGAAGACTACTAGAACGAACTGAGACTACAGAGTACAGAAAATCTCTGAAATCATTTTTCGAATGCCCGCTTTCTTTTACGGTACGGTACGGTACGCATACGGGATACCGCGCTAACCATGTCGCGTCATGTGAAAGGCCCTATCATACACACTCTCACACACACACATGCCGAATTGAAGCGGCGTGGACCCTGGCTAGCGCCAGACGCTACTCAGAAAGTAACGTCTTCTGCATAGCTACAGGAATAAAGCGGTTTGGACCCCAGCTAGCGCCAGACGCTACTAATAAAGTAAAGTCTTTTGCATAGTTACAGCAATAAACACGTACCTACCTACCTGCCATAGCTGAGGCACTGCAAATCCAAGGGCGATTTTTCCTTTCAGTCTTTTTCAACCCCATCAAACCAGTACCGTAGAATCCCGCGTATAAGCCCATGCTCGCACATAAGCCCAGGCCAAGTTCGAACATCACGAAGCTTCGTTGACCAAGCCCATGGACCTAGGTCATACCATATTATACGTAGACCTACGTGAAGGTGGGGCTTTTTGTTGTTGTCGGGTTTTTTGACATATCAACACAATTATCGGTCGTTCTTGTTTGCACAGTGGTTGTACGGTACTTCAGATGGCTGACCGTACCACACTAAATTACCTTCCGACGCCACTGTATTCCCACTGTATCAACACGAAGTATGAAAATGCTTTGGCACGACCCGACCGAATATCACTTCCCCCGGTCCTGTAAGTGACTCAATGTTCGCTTCACAACGACGCGGTACACCACATACTACATAGCCACAGGTATGCAAACACCGCAAAGCAGAAACGACAGTACCGCACGAACACTGCACACAGTCCTGCAAGAAAAGTACTTCGACACCAAAATAATAATTACCTGTGCTGAGCTGGCAAGTAGCTCTGGAGTAGTCTACGGGTGGGACTCCGGCGTCTTCGCAAAACATCTTCTCAGGTCGTTGCCGCCACCGAGTGGTTGGAAGTCTCAATGCATAAACAGACAGAGTCTTCCTGGCGTTCATGCAATTATTATTATTGTGAACAACGCGCTCACTTCTTGCCAACACAAGCCAGAACTCAAAGCAAACAATAGTCAACAGGCACTCCACGGCCACAGGTCCGACTTCGCGACTTCGCGGTTCCCAGTCGAAACAACACGAACAGTCAGTGTTCGAGTCAGCAGTCGAGTATCGTAACGAACAGAAACAGCTTTATGACAAGGGACGTCCACTGTCGACTTACGGAACTTACTTCCAACGGAAATATGTTGGCGAAGGCCGAACATTTCTCCTCCAGGAAGACTAGGAAAGAACTTGTGCTCTCTGAAATCTACCACGACTGCAGAATTGGCAAGGGCACACAAGCACACCCAGCTAGCAACTTGCAAAGAGCATGAAAGAGAACTGTAGATACCGTATTATCTCTAATATAAGCACGGTCCTTTATTTTTTCAATGTACCTCCGCCCCGTGCTATTAATGGAGACGTTCCTTTATTGGAGACTGTTCCATTATTATTTCAGCCTCATTTCAGAGGCATGTTGCCATGCCAAATTCATGTATGACACACACATTTCAGGGTTTTTTTCGCCGGTACAGATAATGAATTTACACAGTGTGCTTATAATGGAGACTGAGCACTTTATTTTTTGAATGTCGCCCCAAGGTGTTCTATTATTGGAGACGTGCTATTATTGGAGACTGTGCTTATATTAGAGATAATACGGTAAGTAGTTTTAGCAAGAATGAGATGTAACTACTGTTGGAGTGAGACAGAGCGTGGTGTCTATGCCCGCTAGTGCTAATGGTAGCTGATACCTGGTGACCATGGTCACTAGCAGGGCCTAGGTCGCTAGGGGGTAGTATCCCTGGCCACTAGTGTTATAATAATATTACTTTATTACTTAATATTAGACCTGCCACCATCATCACTCGTGTCTTCGTCAGACGTAGACAGTGTTGACACCAGGGAGTAGTAAAAATTAATACAATAATTATGTATTTTACTACTCCCTGGTTGACACTGTCTGACGAAGTGATTTGGTGATGAACTTCAGAAGTATTCCCACTTTCCAATAATGTCTTTGCCGCCAAGGGCAAGGCACTGGGGACCTTGTTGAAGAACACTGACAAGACAAACTTTCATGACTCTAATACTAGTAATACTGGTGTATTCACTGCGGGATCGTAGCACCCCGTCCGGCTGGTCCGGCCACGGCCGAGAAAACTCGACACATGCAGTTTGTGAAAGATTGGTGGTTTTCGTAAAATTAATTCTGAAAATGTCTAGTATTTCCGATCAAGTAATAATGTTACCCAGTGGCCACATCCACACCACAGTACCTACCTCCATGCTCCAGTGCACGGGCCTGCACTGGGTATGGCCATATCAGGCACTATTATGGATAAGAAGAGCTCTGGAACAAATACCACTCACTGGGGGGGGGGGGGGGGGCCTTGGTGTTCGTCCGGCAAAAGAGCCGTAGGGCCAGGGTTGGTTACCAAAGACATGCATGCGGGGGGGGGGGGGGGGTGCAACCACGCACCTGTGTGGGGTAGGCCACATCACGGCCCACATGACCATGATGACATGAGTAACATGACCGTGATGACTGATTGTTCAATCATGTAGGTTGGGGGGGGGGGGCAGCTCGTGAAACAGTGATACTACACTGCAAGAATATGCATTACAGACACAGAACACACAACAGTCATTGCCATTGGCCCACTGTTGGAACAGGTTCAGGCAAGTAAGATAAAGTTCCACCATTAGACGAGCAGGGGCACTTTCCAATCCAGAATTACAATATCTATAAAGCATGAAAACACTGGAGGCAATGCAATTTCAAAAGTCGTTAAAAAACTGTTAAAGAAAACTCAAAAATCTAAAAATAGAATAAAAAAGGATATTGGTTGATGGTGAAAAGATGATTCCTTGAAAACATAATTATAACTGTGCATAACACTGGTCGCATACAGAACTTGAGGAATCAACACTGGAGAGAGATTGAGATGAGTACTATGCCAGGATGATACTGCAAACATAATTATTGATTAAAATTTTAAATGATTAAAAACTGACTGGTCGTAGTGTATTGCTGACCTGAAGCAGGTAAACATCAGGAGTCGCTGACATCAGTGGATGTGCTGCTCGACAGCTACAGTACATGCACATGCGTGCTTGGATAGAGTAGCATGACTGAAGGTTGACTCGGTAGGTCAAACTCCCAGAGCTCAGCTACGACTTTAATAGTGAAGAGAAGCGGAGTAATCGTGACCAGTAGTTACCATGATTACACAATGACATCACAATGACATCTTAATGACATCACAAGACAACCTCAGGCTTATAAGTGAGGCTAACATAAATGACTGTCAGCTGAGGGGCTCCTAAATATGACTGAAACGTTCCTTATACAAGTAAAACATGTTCCACTGACTTCATAATCAGTACCATTGGTGCAGCTTTTACCAATTCCTTTTCATTGAAATCATTAATTTTTTGTTTCGATTCATGACCAGTCTGGTGCAGGCTGTTGTAGTTTCCAACCCTGTCAATCCGTAACATACTACCGAAAGTACCGGCTGATTGAGTCGGGACTTGATCACGTATTGTAGCCTGGGGTCAGGGTGGTGGTGGCGACAGCTCTCGGTCTTCCTGCGTCTGCTTGATGGCCCTGTGCAGAGCTTGCGTCTTGTCGGGACTCACCACTTGGTAGTTTGTAGATTCTTTCTGTCCAGATGTTGACTACAGGGCAAACGGAACATAGACAAGGGAGAGTGACTTGTACAGGATCAGTGACGAAAGGAATAGGAATGCGCACGGGCATAGTCCTATAACCTCCCGGTCATCCCAACCAATCTACAAATGTTTTCAAGACTGGAGAAGAGAAAGAAAACAGGGATTTGGGCATTGCTTATGACTCAGTCATGAGTCTGCTGGCGGTAGGGTGCCCAGAAAACTGTCCACAGTATGGCCCACAACGCATTAGGAGCAGCATAACGACAACAAGAGTTCATGGAGTACATGACTGTGTATCCTGATTTTCAGCATATCAATGCAAGCCACACTCTGAAACTTACGCCTGGCGTTTTGGCTTCACCAAAAGCAACTTTCTGATAGAGGAGACGTTCAGTTGCCTCGCTCTGGGGTGATGTGCTGCTAGAAATATCACTGCCGGACCGATCCAGGGATCGCTTGTGTGCCTTGGCTGAGCGAGAACCAAAGCCGCTATCCACACTCTCCATTTCTTGCTCCCCAACAAAATCCAACGTCATATCCGCTGTGCGTGATGAACAACAAAGACAGCAAGAAAAAAATTATTGGTTGAGCATGAAGGGAGGGTGTATCAACTGCACAGAATGTATAATCCTAATCAAAGGCCAGGGGGGGGGGGGGGCTAGTCAACTGGCCAATGCTCTACTCACTTGCTACTTGCTACAAACTCAAATACTCGTTCAGCATGGAGTTCACATGTTGAGTTACTTTAAAAGTTGGTTTAGTGAGTCCTGTAACATGAGCGGCGTTTCGGGCCAGTCATGAACAGAGTGGCCGTGTGAAAGTAGGCCACACTTTGTATATTGAACTTCAGCAGTTGCGGAATAGTGCATCACAGCTACTCAGTCGTTGACACATGCAATTGGTCCTATTATCTGCTGTCATCATGGTCAGTCGCAATGGAGAAAATACTGGAAGATGGAGAAGGGAGCGTGAAGACAAAAATGTTGCATACTGTGTTTCCACGGTTCGGACGTTAAGCTATTTCAGCAAATAACTCTCTGTCTCACACACATACACACACATGCATGCGCACACGCACGCACGCACGCACGCACACACACGCACATACACACACATACACACACATACACACACACACACACACACACACACACACACATGTAAACACAAGCTCACGTGAGAAGTATCGACCGTGCCGCGATGCCTGTCTGTGCAGCTTCACTGCTGTGGCTTCAGTCGGCGGAGCACGGATCATGGCATTTTCGTAGGGATTCCGTAATACTGCTCCTGGCGCTTGCTGTTCAGGTGTAGACCAGAGGTCGATCGTAAACAGGCCATCGGAGCTGCGATTCAAACAAGCACACATACTTTCAGGTCAAATAAAACCCAGACAAGCACACGTACTTTCAGGTCAAATAAAACCCAGTCAAGCACACGTACTTTCAGGTCAAATACAACCCTTAGGCTGGTCGGCTCTAGTCGCAGCATATTGCATCAACAAAATAGCCTGCATTTTTTGTGGGTTAGCAAGAGACTCTAGATAATAGCCGATTGGCATGATACAATTTCTCTCGGTTCTTGTACTGGATTTTCAGTACACCCAACTCACAACACACCAATATATCCCTGATGATGCCCTTCTGGGTGAAAATTTGGACGATTTCAACTGTACGTGGTGTAGCCAAGGACTGTAGTGTGTTGCGAGTTGGGTATACTGAAAATATGACAAGGCTAAAATGGAGTTTCAAAGTTAATAAAAAAACCTACTGGATTCCGGTAATTCCGGTAATTATTTTCTCCCGCTTGATTTTGGTATTCTGTATCACAATATCTGGTTTCCCAAATGAAGGTAGATTTGCTAACACAACCCTGCCTGTGAGTTATGAAGAAAAATGGAGAAAAGAAGCAGGGGAACAATCAATGGTAGGGGCCACGCAAGATGATTCTGCCGGTGGGGCAGATCATACACACACACGTACCATATTTTTCGGAGTATAAGCCGCACCCCATTTGTTTTGCCACGAAATACAGACATCTACCCTATTTACCACCGTCAACTTGATCATCGGTGTACCATGGTGTACTGTAAAAGCAGAACTTTTCGGTGGTGTTTTATTTTCGGTAACTTCGGTGCCGACAATTTTTACCGAAAAATTTCGTTACTACCGGTACTGTATACATGTAGTACTAGTACACTTACCTGGAAAACGGGTTTTACCGAAAATTTCCCTCCACCGAACCGCCCATTTTTGGAGAATACCAAAAATATTACACCACCGAAAATTTCTGCTTTCACACTACAGTAAAACCTGTAGCTAAAGACCACCTTGAATAGCAACCAACCTGGTACTAAAGACCACCGTGAATAGCAACCAGCCTGGTACTAAAGACCACCGTGAATAGCAACCAGCCTGGTACTAAAGACCACCGTGAATAGCAACCAGCCTGGTACTAAAGACCACCGTGAATAGCAACCAGCCTGGTACTAAAGACCACCGTGAATAGCAACCAGCCTGGTACTAAAGACCACCGTGAATAGCAACCAGCCTGGTACTAAAGACCACCGTGAATAGCAACCAGCCTGGTACTAAAGACCACCGTGAATAGCAACCAACCTGGTACTAAAGACCACCTTGAATAGCAACCAGCCTGGTACTAAAGACCACCGTGAATAGCAACCAGCCTGGTACTAAAGACCACTTCACCAGGCACGGACGGTCTCACATTCATATAATGGTTGCGCGGTGCAAACCTCTAACTGAGGACCACCTGCCACTAAAGACCGCTTTCTCTGGCCCCAAGGTGTGGTCGTTAGTCACAGGTTTTACTCTATGTGTTGTGAGTGAAATTTCTCACGTCAGCTTTGGTGCTGTGCTATTGAGTAATGATACTCCCGCCGTGCCGAAAATTAATCGCTGCCGAAATGTTGAAAATCGTGAAATGCCGAAATTTTGCAGCGCCAAAATTGGGCAAATGTACAATACTCCTATTTGTTCCGACCATTACCAGTTAACAGTTAGCATCACAGGAGAACATCATAGTGGACTTACCTAGCCATTCCACCGGGCGCCCACGATAGAGAATTTTCTCCCGTGGCATCTGCCAACACTGATGATTCTATGCAGAGTAAGAATAAAACATTGATACGGGAAAAGTCTCCGGTGTAAGTGATGTCATGCCACCTATATGCAGATCATGCGGAGAGTACAACCGTCAACATACAGCTGCCTGCTTTGATGGAAGGTAAAAAGTCGCCACCAAGAACTCATCGGTCATGAACATGACTAATTCATCATCATGGCAACGCCCTCTCAGTCGCTGTGATCCTACAGTCCATTCACCAAACTTGGGCCAATAGGTTATTCACAGTCTCACTTCATTCTTATTCAGGATCGTGAAGTCGATGATTTACATAGGTCAGAAATATGATAGCCGTTGTTTTACGCCTAAGATCAAGAATGCGGTGAAAATTGATCAAGATATGTGCAAAGAGTATTTTTCAGACACATAGTTTGTGTATCAGGGGCCCCAATTTGGCGAATAGACTGTAGTTTCATGCTCTGCAAGATCATCAGGTTACTGGTCTACCTACTGTACATCAAGTGGACAATGCACTAGTTTTACCAACACTGCCTGCCACAGCCTTTTCAGCGTTCAAATGCTTGAAAACCTCAGCAAAGCTCACTAACACAAACAAGAGTTGCCAACAATAGCATGCATGGGATGAGTGCGGCAAAAAACCTCGACAGCACAATAGAACTTACGATGCTTTCCCGACGACCCAGACCCTATCGGAATCGGTCCCGATATCGTGCTCTTCGAGCTGACAAGAGCGGGCGACGCGCGATCGCTTCCAACCGGCAGCACATCCTCGTAGCGGTGGTGCTGAAATCTTGACGCAGCATAATCAATAGCATGGTGCCCTGATGCCGAACTTAGCGCACTACTACCGGACGAGGATGAGTGGCTGCCGGATGTGTGGGCGTTCATGCTGCCGCTACCCGACGATCCCTGGTGGTAGAGATGCTGTCCAGAGCCACCGCTCGATGAGCTGTGCACCATAGTGTTTTGATCGGAGTGCTGACGCGATATGCTTTCGAACTTCTGAAGGACCACGCCCACCGGTTGCAGCTCGGTGAAATCTAGCCCGGAGACCGATCGCAGCGGCGTCCCATGGACGCTGGCGGCTGCGTGCTGCCGCTGGACAACCTCACTGTGATTGCCTTGAGCTACGGGACTGCTTTCTAGTGGACTGGCGGGGCTGGCGCGAGACAAACACGTCGTGCAGAACTCATACCCGCAGCTGTGGGGTAAGGAAGTGCTCGATGGGCTCCTCAACGCTACATCCTGTGCTGCTGCGGCGGCTGCACCTGCACCCATGGCATACAGCCGCCCGCTACCTGTGGACGATCTCGATCGTGTCGTGATGGCGTCGTCCGGATGAAGCACGACATCACCACCAACCGAGCCCACGCTAGAAGACACGCTGTGTTGTGAGTGAAGGCTAACGTGCGAGGAGTCACTGCGCTTGCTATGACGCGCCTGAGACGACGCTTGCCATTCACCAGAGCTATCCATTGTTAAAGTTCTGCGTCGCTGTTTCACCGGGATTGGCGGCGGAACAGGCTCTTCATTGCCTTCTGTGCTGGTATCAAGAACAAGTGTGCTGTCCAAATCTGTTTCACTGTTGTTATTGACCTCGGCAGGATCAGGTTTGTTCTGAGTGGGATTCTCTGCTGCTGCCTTAGGTACGTTTTCCTCCTGTGGGTCTCGCTTCATGTTTACATACTGGTCTTCTTTCTTCGGATCAACTGCCTGAGCACTCGGCTCTGTGTTGTTCATTGTGACATACTGGTCTTCCTTCTTTGGATCAACTGCCTGCGCACTCCGCTCTGTGTTGTTCATTGTGACATACTGGTCTTCCTTCTTTGGATCAACTGCCTGCGCACTCCGCTCTGTGTTGTTCATTGTGATATACTGGTCTTCCTTCTTTGGATCAACTGCCTGCGCACTCTGCTCTGTGCTGTTCATTGTGATATACTGGTCTTCCTTCTTTGGATCAACTGCCTGCTTTTTCAGCTCGGAGTCATTCATTGTCATATACTGGTCTTCCTTCTTTGGATCAACTTCCCGCGCACTCGGCTCCTTGTCAGAGTTCATTGTGACATACTGGTCCTGATCGGAGCTTGCCTGCGATGCTGAGGGATGCCTCATTTGCACATACTCAGTTGCTGTCGACGGATGCCTCATCTCCACATAGTCGACCCCTGTGCGGCTTATCTCTGCTGCACGCGCTGCTTGGGATGGTTCCACCGCTGGTGTTTGCTTCACATCTGCTTGCATGCCCCGAGGTAAACTCATCTCCTCGTATGCGCCTTGCGATGATTGCTCGGGCGTTGTCTGTTTCGCTCTTCCATGCTCCTCTGGAGCACTGACAGTAGCGGCTTTCACATTCATGACCATGTACTCATCGGATTGGTCCTTAGGGACTGATTGTGACAGAGCTGGTTGCCGTTCCACGGGCGTATTTCCTATTGCTTTCTTGCCTATCTGTGGTGATTGCTTTGGGCGCACTGGCTGCACGAGAAGAAGCCTGTCGTCTTCTGCTGAGCTGGTCGCCGGTTGAGATTTCGATTTCTTGTAAGACGCTGCCGGTGGCCCCATTGTTTCGTATTGCTCTTCCGCTTCGGACGATGGCAATGGGCTTGTGGAGATGGGTAGCGTGTGCGATCGTGACGGTCGCGACCTGTCCTGTCTTGTCAGCGTGCCTGTGCCTGAGTGTGTCTGACTGGATTCACTGCTGGATGGTGAGACGAGGACGGTGGCCGAGCGCTGCACGTTCCTGCTCGCACTCGGGCCCATCACCTCGTACGTTGCGCTCACCTCGTTTATCTGCTTCCCCGCGCCGACGGCAGAGACTACCGGCGAGTGTACCCTTGAACCGGCGATCACTGGGATGTCCTTCACACTGGACGAGAGTATAGCATATTGCCCATCAGCAGAAGTGTCACTCTGCCCACGGAGCGTATCACAATCAGACCCCGACGCCGAAGGCATGCTTTTCTCCAGAAGACTGAGCTCATCCAGCGACACATCTAGCAAGTCACCGCAGGATGACGAGAGGCGCCGGTGGAGTTTCCTTCCCTGCAGTATCATTTCTCGGCTGTCGTACGGCAACTGCGCAGACGCATCAGATCTTGTTGACGTGTCGGAAGATTTGCGACTGCCACCAGGCGCCAGATCCTGACTGTCCCAAGTGGAGGTGGAGTCGGAACGCTGGAATCTTTCCGTGGAGGAGCGCAGTGAATGTGAGATGGCGCCTGCACGGGGTCTATATTCCTGGCTCGGCGATCTACTGCTGACCGAGCCTGAGACGGACCGTACACTCAAATGATCTGACGCATTCTCGTACGATACGACCGAGTCGGACATCTGTTGCTTCAAGTCCGGAGCCTCAGATCTGCTCGCAATGCCAATGGGTATGCTGTGAGACATACCCAAGGAACTGCTACCGACAATCAGGCTGGTAGTTGGTGCAGGCTGCGGTTTAGGCTTGCTTGGCAGGGGCGGCGGGGCTGAGGATGATGAAGGTTCCGTGAACGGCTTGCTGGCGAGGTTCGATGGACTGATGCCGCACGGATTGGAGACGGAGCGGACAAAGCTAATGCGCTCACTGTCGGTGGGAGAGTCCATGTTGATATACGCGTGACTCGCTGGATGGCCAGTCAACGGTGAATGACTCATGGCGTGGGTAGTGTGTGTCTGCTCCTGGTGATACCCTGCCGCTGTTGTACCCGCACTGTGACCATGCCTGTATGCATTCTGCATTGGCACACCGGTCACTGCGGGAAAATGCCGCATGGCTGCAGGATCCGACGGCTGTCGTGGTAGCGTGACCGCCTGACGGATGTTTTGATACGTCTGTCCGGCGGGCATGGAGCTGCTCATGGTGTGGTGGCTGCCTGGCTTGGGGGCATACCTAGTACTGTGACTGCTGCTAGTGTTAGTCACGCTGGTGTTGCTGCTAGTGCTGCCGCTGATTTGCTGGGTCTTCCTGCCAGCGCCCCTCAACATCTCGCTGTATGTATAGAAACAAAACACAGACACACGTATACACACACACACACACACATGCACATACACACACGAATCATGGCCCACCGTCTCCGCTGATTGCATATATCTATATACAAGTCATTCACCACTGGTGCATATCCAAAGATTAATTTTAGTCCGTTGCCTCAACAGTACAATGCAGGCCCGAAGACAGTACAATGCAACAGTACAATGCAACAGTACAATGCAGGCCCGAAGACAGTACAATGCAGGCCCTAACAACAGTACAATGCAGGCCCTAACAACAGTACAATGCAGGCCCGAAGACAGTACAATGCAGGCCCTAACCGGGGTGGTAACTTACTCATAGAGTGCTGCCCGCATCTCCTCGGCGAGAGCACCATCACGGTCTGACCTAGCGCTGACCTGGCTGTCCTCCAGGAACATGCGCCCCTCTCCATGCGGGCAATGTCGGCCACAGTGAAGGTAGAGACGACTTTCTGCAGTGTATGGAGCATGAACAAAAGCAGGTGCTATACAATTGACTGAGGTGAATAGCAATTTACAACCTTTATAGAGAAGAGGATTGATGTTGTTGAATACCAATAGGCTGTCAAAGTGCCGACGTCACGCTGCCTGAAGACTCGTAGTTACATGTAGTTACAAGGCCAAGTGGTGACAAACAAAAGTCGCGTCACCTGCACTTGTCGTGTTTCCAACGGCCACAGCATAACTTTGACTGAGGCGTGCTCGGGCAAGATCGCGAGTTCAAATTTTGTTTTGCTTCAAGACGTTTCTCCTCCGCTCTCAAGCCATCGTGCAGTGTTTTCCTGCTGAGTGTTCACCGGCACCTGAGAGATAGGAGTTCTGATTTTCGCTTGCCGCTGGACAAGGAAACGAGCCGAGAGGTGGTTGGTCTCAGAACCAAAAGAAATCAGCAATCGCTGCGATAGAAATAACAGAGACACTCGACATTGCTTCTTGGCCGGCGACTAAATGCAAAGCCGAACGTCAGTACAGGCACTGCAGTGGCCAAGTAAAAAATCAGCTACGGCTTTTCCTTCTCTACAGAGCGAAAACTACAAACTTGGCAACAAGTAGCAGGGTATTTGAAATAAATCCTCTCGCTTGCCTGCTCCTCAGTCAAAATGATGCTGTAGCTGTGTTCACTGCACGCTGCTGCCACTGGAAACACGACAAGTGCAGGTGACGCGACTTTTGTTTGTCACCACTTGGCCAAGAAACTACCCATCATTAAGAAGCAGTGCCGTCAGACTTCGACAGCCTATTGGCTGGATTTCAATTAGTCAACACTCTCCTGCTTCTAAAAATAAGAGTGATCAGGTTTTCCGCAGCTTCATACATATACAGTGGTGGAGAGCACGCCTCCTGTTTCCTGACAACTCTGCAATCTTTAAATTAACTCGTTCTTATTGCAAGGTTTTAAAATCATTAACCTCTAAGTCTTCCGATTATCATATTCTTTCCTCCTTTCTTTCTTTCTCTTCTCTTGCCATGGCTGGCCCCCTCCTTTGCATTGGCTTCTGCCATTGGACGGTGAAATAAAAAAAATAAAAAAATAAAAGTTGGTCCTGAAATGATCAGTCAAACCCAATGACACATTGGCGCTAAACATATCAACAGTCTTACGTCTAGCTCCACAGTTTCTGAGCTGGTTGATTTGGCAGACGAAGAATGGCTGCGCTTGTTGCGGGCGAATGAGCACAACTTGCTTGGAGTTGAAACCAAAGCTGCAAGGTGAGTCGGAAAAGCCGTGAGCGGAGATGATCTTCTTGCCTATATCCTGTGGTGACAGCCTTAGTCCATGCCACAATCGATCTAGAACAGAAAAAGGTATATAAACAAAATAAAGACAGAAGTTTCTCGTTTGCATCTTTCCCTCGAACCAGTGAATATAAGTGAGGGAACAACATTTACTGCTATAATATTATAGGGTTGGTTTGAAAGTCAATCATCAATACTAAAGAGCAACAACGTCACTTGAAGATCAGTAACTTAGTCTTGCACAAATGTACGATAGTTGTCCAGAAAGTCAATCGTGCATATGCCAGAACAGCATTCACACATCACTAGCGTACAATTAAGCTTGTTTAAACTCAGATGTTGAGCCAAAGTAATCATGGATAACTGTCCTTTCTTTTTATCCAATTAAGATTGTAAATGCAGTCTTCTTAGCTTTGTCCTTGTCTAATGATAATACTGCTGAACGTTTGATAACTGTTCTAAGTATCTTAAAATGGTCACCGAGTGTCATTGCTATCCAGGATTGAATCTGGTGTTGTGTGTGTGTGGGGGGGGGGGGGCTGGGACCCCATCACAGATGGATCATGGGAGGGTGTCGGATTGTGGGGGAGGGTGGGGGAGGGTCTGGGACCCCATCACAGATGCGGTTTTCAATTTATTTTCTAAGCTAAAGCTAGCGGCAGCAGCTTTGTGCCAGTCCTACGGTCTTGCTGGTCATTTAAAAACCTTAAGTCTCCAAGAATTATGTTGTGGACGTGCCAGGTACTGAGCTGCAAAACATACCCTAGTGTGATCACAGTTTGTCAGCTATTACAGTATTAGCAGCTATTAGCAGCTATTAGCAGCTATTAGCAGCTATTAGCAGCTATTAGCAGCTATTAGCAGCTATTAGCAGCTATTAGCAGCTTAACACAAAATTTGAGGTTTGTAAATCCCTTTTGAATGGAGTGCAGGATACGTCTTTGCCAGGTACTGAGCTGCAAAACATACCCTAGTGTGATCACAGTTTGTCAGCTATTACAGTATTAGCAGCTATTAGCAGCTATTAGCAGCTATTAGCAGCTATTAGCAGCTATTAGCAGCTATTAGCAGCTATTAGCAGCTATTAGCAGCTTAACACAAAATTTGAGGTTTGTAAATCCCTTTTGAATGGAGTGCAGGATACGTCTTTGAAACGATCAGCTCAAGTCCTTACCAAGATCAAGTCGCTGCGCGTTGGGAGTGCCGGTGATGAACTCTCGCAGCAACGTCATCCACGCGTCGCAGTCCGAACGTTTCTCGCATCCGAGTGGAATGGCCGTGTCGGTCGAGCTACCATTGTTATTCCTCAGCAGGATGACAAAGCCAAAGTATGCCGGCTCACGTTTGTACTGTGAGAGCGATGATGGCAGGGTCATGGAGCCGGGAGATGAAGGTGGTGACGATGATGACTGCTTTAGGTGGCTATCCATATCTGTAAGGCCAGGAAAACAAAGAGCAAGTAAGCTTAGTTCACACATCCATCGGCCAAATTGTTGTGCAGCTCTTGACTGGACAGTCTAGTTTCATAGCTCAGTAACATTTGGGCGCTAACGGCAAACTAATGTAGGGCAGCAGCATATGCTCACATACAAACTCTCTTAGAATTCCTTAAAGGCTCGACAGCACGGCTTGTGTTCATATGACAATTATGCAGACTTGAATCAGTGGACATACAGCGGAAACACAGTCACGTGTTTCAAAAGGAGCAAAAGCCAAGACAAGGAAAGGTGATCACAAACGCTTGCATCATGTCACGCACACACAGCCGACACACAGGACATGTTCCCAAGATCAGAATTACGAGGCTCACCGTTTCTATCAGCGTGAGCCACGGCCATCATGTCAGCGATGGAGATGACACGTTTCGGTGTTTTTCTCTTCTGGAACAGGCGCTTGTCGGCGAAGAACTCCATTCGCGGTGGAAAGCCATTGATCGTGTCCTCAGACCAGAGCACGGCGTAACGCAAATGTCCGCTCTGAGCGAATAGTCAAACAAACATTATTCTGCGTTAAACAAGGGTAAGCAGCAGCATCGGTCTGGAACTCATTTCTTTAAATCTCCTCTTTTTGGTTTATCAGTTGTCTGGAACAAGCTCCCTGAGAGCCTACGCAGGGAGCGATATTCTGCTAAGTTTCGGTTTCTCGTAAAGGACCATTATTTAAAGTATAACTTCTCCACGATTGGAATTCCTGATTTTCCTATCTAGCATGTATTCGCTTTCTCCCTGGTGGGTTTTTACCTGTAGTTTTCCTTGAGCAGTGTTTCTGCTCACTTGTTAAGTATTTTCCCTAGCACCTTTCCCCTTCCCTTTTGTCCCATCCACCCTTCCAGGAAACTCCCCCGATAAATATCCATTTACTTTTGGAGGAGAATCCTTCAAATAAAGTCTAAATGAAAAAATCGGCCTTGTACAGATTTTCTCCTACAACCACCACACCTAGGCTACGTTCTCCAGTCAACCTCGATACATTACTGTAGAATGGCGAATTTTAAGCATTGCAATGAACAGAGCCAGCTGAAGCGTCATTTCACGAAGGTTTTATCGAGATGTCACAAACAAATTCCAGAGAACGCGGTGATGGACAAAGAAATAACAGTGACATGACGTTTCAGCTGGTTCTGTATATTGCAATCCTTAAACTTTTGTCAACTCGCCGCCTTTTCAAATTTTAAAGGGTAACATTTTTGGCGTTTTATGAATCTGGACCAATTCGCGATGAAATATTTTAGCGATCCGAGTTTCGGAGTAAAAAAAAAAAGGAAAATTAGTACTGTACCGTGCATGCAAAAACAGCGAAAACACTCCTTCCACTGAAATCGCTAAACTATCACTATCGCTATACTTATAATGGTAAGAATGTAGTTGAAGGTTTGTGGTCAGACTAGTGCAGTGTAGTATATAGGTGGTGGAGGCTGGATGCAAACAATGAGTGTAGTGTGGAGTGTGGAGTTTGCCTCACACATGTATTGTGTTGTGTGACATGCAGCCACACCCACTTACACTAGAGACTCCCATAGTCACTGACCACTGGCACTGGAAATACCATGACACAGTCACAGACTGGCTGTGTGTACTAGTGTGATCTGTGACACGAACTGACACTAGAGACCAGTAGTTATAAACAATCACTGCGGCTATGTGTGCTGACAGGGTAATGCACTGGAGTACAGTCTGGCCTGGGTTAGTATTGTTACCCACTGACACAACAATGTACATATACACATCATGTACATGTACTTAGGATATACATGTCCTTCAGAACACAGCAGGGCTCTATGCTATTCTGAATATCACATGATCCTGATTTTTTTGTCTTGTACAGGAATACTTATGAAGTACTTTTGAAGTATTAAATTCGCATCCCGTAACCCCGCATATCCGTACCTCGAGCAGCTTTTCAACCATGCAATGCTCCCCACTTTTCCTTGGCTACTCACAATGGTTCTGCTTTTGCACAGGAGACGACATGCCTTTGGTTGAGGCACATCGAGGAAGGCATTGCTGAATGCTGTCTATTTGATATGGCATGTTGTGTGATTTGGAATGACTTCAAATAGATCAAATGGAAGCATGACTTGCTTCTGTTCATAGGTAACAGAGGTGGAGCTAACACGAGAGTTTGCAGCCCATCTGCCCAGCTAGGCACTTGGTTGTCCCGGAGACTTATCATCTCACAACTGTTGCTAGGCACTACACTGCCACAATGGTATAGTCAGGCATAGTGGTGGCCTGGCACGAGCGAAACTTCCTAAGCTCATTGTAATTGTAGAGCCGGTGGTAACTTATAGTTGACACAAGAACTTTAAAAAGAAAAGACCAAAATGTAACATGTTATCCGTAGTTTGAGTTCAACACTAACAGTTATAAAAACAAAATGTTGTGTAGTCAGAAGGTGCAACAGCTAGCACACTACATCTTGCTTAAAACAGTTAGTGTTGGACACAAACTTCGGGTAAAATGTAACATTTTGGTCCTTTCTTTCTAAGTTTAATCCTTGGCTCTCCATCCGAGTCTTACAAGAACTTTACTTTACTTTTTGCTGTTACTATCCAATCCCAAGTCTTTTCTTCTCCTACATTTGCTTTCTTTCCCTTTTGTGAAATGTTCCTGTACGTTTTCCTTGGCCAAAACAATGTCATGTGAGCCTCAAGGTGTACTGAGCCAAGGTGGGCTGTGAAAGTAAGCGCAAAGCACAAAGCGTGAAGTTGTCATTGGCCGTTCCAAGCCATGCATTGTTTGAAATAAAGTGCTTCAGCAAAAATATATTTTAATACGCCATCTTCCCAGTGACCTGATATTGCCAGAGTGTACATGTGAAAGTAGTGCTTAGCAAGTGTTCTAGAATTGCAATCACATTATGATCCTACATGGTGTCAATGGCACAGCTACGCATACATACATATGTACATTTTTAATCATGTTGACGGTCCTTGCACCCAATCATGAGCATCCTCCCTGGCCATCTTCCTGTGCATATGGTATCCAGATTGAGATTATCAGCATATTTTCGTAAATCATGTAAATGAAGAGTTCATGTGGTTGACCATACCCAATCTACATGTACATGTAGGCGCTTCTATACCCCCCCCCCCCCCCCATCTCACCCCCCCCCCCCATCTCACCCCAAGGCACTCCTGGAAGTATCAGGTGATTTCCTGTCTGGCTCCCAGTGCACTAGCGGCTGATAAGCCTGATATCATTCGGAACCCGGCCAACCTCTACAGGTCGAGATCTGTTTCATTCAAAACAACTGATGTAAATCTAGCCTGCTGAAAGCCATATGATGGCACCTTATTATCCTCATCATAATAATTATCACTATGATTGGACGGGCATGTTGGCGCTGAGAATGCTGTAAGCAGGGCTCATGGGTGGATTTTATTCGATTCCTACAGTCACACACACACATACACACACACACACACACACCACACACACACACACACACACACACACACACACACACACACACACACACACACACACACACGCACACCACACACACACACACACACACACACACACACACTTGTACTTGTACTTGCTCACTGCCAAAACTGGTCACGTGGGTCTCCCTGGGAGAGGGGAGAGAGACTCAAAAGGAATCTTGGAAAGATGACTCAATTGGCCATTGAACCACCCAGCGGCCGACACCCCCTGAAATCCCCAAACTAGGGTGGACTTGAAATGATCCCACTTACGGGCTCACCACACCTCCGTAAGTGGGTGAGGACAAGGTGCAGAAAAAGGATTGACGGCATCAGGGTATCCGTCCCGGGATCCAACTGCAGGTACCCCTGCCCCCAGTGAAAGTAATACTTGGTACTAGTGTGGGTGGCTAAATCAGAGTGGATCCACACACACACACACACACACACACACACACACACACACACACACACACACACACACACACGGCCATCTGGGTCTTCTGATACTTATCTCACTCTCAGCTATGAGGTTCTTATGAATCTGAACACCTCATTAGGCACATAATAACTGGCCTGTGACTGTTTCCCATCCGAAATGTTTCAGTACCAAGAGGCAGTGAAGGGCAAATGCTGCTTCTGCTTTCCCTTTCAGAGTCAAATACTAATGTAAGTGAAATCACTCGAATTGCCAGCTGGCTCTAAACGACTACACAGCTGTACTAGTGTAGGTAAAACACTGCAACGTAAGCCCGAAGTGTGTAACTGTCCGCTTGCATGTTTGAGGGTCACACGTCAACGTATCTTATCTATTCTAAACGCGTACTCCATGACTAGCGACTATCGCATCTTCCATCACAATGAGTGTATGAACACATACAGAGTGGCTGTGCGGTTCCACTCCAAAAGACTGCAGCTCCTGTCGCAGTCGCTGTTTTCCACGAGCGCGAACATGAGGCTGTCTTGTCTAAACTGCAATGCACCACAATGGCGAATATCCACTAAGTACGCAGAGCCCTCGGAAAGTCGCTAACACACAGATAGCGCTGCACTCACCTTGTTCTTCTTGAGATTCCCCTCAATGGCGATGTACCTCGCCCCGGCCATGTCTCCGGCATCCGCCGCACTGTCCCGTTGACTAACAGAGCGCTGAAGACCCTCGGCTCTACTGGGCAAAGACGCCATCACTTTTTGTTTATCAGTTCACCAACGCTGATGTTTTTCTAAAGCGGCTTTTCTCCGGCGACCTTCCGCTGCGCATATGTTACCCAATAGTAACTTCATGAATTGAATTATCTCCCTGGGGCCTGCTGAATACTAGTACAGTAGTAGTACGCAAGAACGTACGCAGTGGATATTGCCAAACAGATGGGGCGGGGAATTGGTTCCGTTTACTAGTATCTGCCAACAGCGGAAAAACACAGTAGTATAGTATTGGGAGCTGTGCTTCGCTGGACCCAGAATGGAACACCAGCGACAGCGTGCGAGTGTGATGGATCATGGAAGTCAGTCAAAAAAATCGAGCTGGGCCGCGTGCTTGGGGATGCTCTGCGGGTGATTGTGTATGGTGCTCGTTCTCTCATTTGAAGAAGCCAGCCAACAGCCACTGTACAGCGTAAACCATGGTAGACCACCACACACGTCTCAGTAGGCTACATGTACCATGATGTAGGCATTATGGTGTTGGAGCAGTCAGTTCTCATCTCAATCTGACAATCAGTGAAATCACTACACGTAGATCTACACACGTTTACGGTCGGTTTAGGCACCTAACGACGACATGCACGTGTGGAGTGCAACAGAGAACTCATACAATACAGTGGAAAGTATGCCTTGACATTTACCGCGTGCGACAGACACGTCACCAGGGACAACCGCGATAGGGGTGTGGATGACCGCGGCCGTCAAACCAAGAGCTCCTGACGCGCTCTTTTCACCCTCACAGTGCTAGTGCGCTGTGTGCAGCGCGGGACCGAGCTCCGGACAGCTCTGCTTAGCAGTACTCAGTAGTCAGGGTAGTACAGATCTGAGAGTGCAGGATTGACATGACAAGTGGCGAACACCTGACAGGTCTTCTGACTGGAAAATAGACTGAGCGAGCGTACAGAGACTGACAGTCTGTGTGTGTGCGCGCGTTGGGAAACGATGATGATGACCGTCACGTGGTGCTCAACTAACGTTACTTTGACAAGCGAGCAATGAATGGCGGGAGAAGAGTAGAGTACCAGTAGTAGATGCCTTGATTTGAGGGACACGGGCACCAATGCTTGTGTTGCACGTATCCGGTATGGATACTTGAGAACGGGTTTTATGGTTTGGACACAATATCGCTAATAATAATTCTGTCGTGTACTAGTACATATGCATCTCCACCTGGGTACTGGTACTGGTAGAATGGTGTAGTGATCCAATCTTACCGTGTACTGTGGCCCGCCGACTCGTCGAGGGCGTGATCATGTACTGATGTGCTACATCAGTACATGATGTAGTTTGCAATCGGTTCTCGGGCCGTTAGGGTACTAGTAGTGTGGTTTCTTGTCAAGAGTTTGTGTTCTATCTTACACTTCAATTGAGACGATTCTATAATTGTATTGCCGACTTTGGGTTGTCGTTTCGCGTTGGTTCTTGCTTTATGCTTTCACGCGATTGGCTTTGTAAATAAAGTTCAATAAACCCGTTCTCAGGTAGTGCTATAACTGTATAAGCATACTCGTACATGTAGGTGGATTGTACAATACACGTGCAGGCAGTATACAGCCAGGGTACATAATTATGGTGGTTGGGTTGCAGTCAGAACACTGGTCTGAACACAGTATCATGTCCTCCGCCTTGTCACTAGTCTAGTACCAGATCTAGGTGTGGGTCCTCTTCACTCAATACAGACAAAGTCGAGCGAGCTGTATCCCCGGTGCAGAAAGGTGGGCTCACCACCCCTGTATGGCAACTTCCCCATGTCTAACCCCCATTCCCCCAAGACAAAGTGAATGCTGTAGTAGTCATACTGGCCGACGTTTAAAAAAAGAAAAGAAAAAGAAGTACCAGCTGTTAAACTCAAGCAAGTGCAGGTGCCAGTGCAACCTGTGAAGAAGTAAGCTGGCGATGGAAAGAAGGTTGTTTCAGTGCTTGCGAAGTTGCGATGCCGCCCATGACTTTATGGTAGTGTGAAGCCACTCAACTAAGAATCTAGACTGGCGGGGGTCTGGACCTAGACTCTCCACATGTTGTACTGACTGAGTGGGCCCACAGCAAACGCATCTCTCACAAGTCTCAGTGCTGAGACTCGATTGGACTGGACAGCAGAGCAATCGTGCACCTGTGCACCTGTGCGGAGGGCTCGTTGCGAATGCTAGCACCTCATGATTATTCTACGTCACCTCCACTCCGCATCCACTCTCACTGCGCTACTACTGTGCTTAGTTCGTACTTCAAAAGTATTATGGTGGGTCCACTGTCAAGTATCAACCAGTGAACCAGTGGACAGACATGTAGAAGACGTGTCTTTTCAATGCTAGAAACAAGAATGAATACTAAAACCCAGATCACTGGAAAACGTTGTGAACACAGGTACATATTATGTACACCACACCACGCCCCGCACTTCAATCTCCGAGATCACACTATCATCTTCTGCTGATCTTTAGATGAAGCTGCAAGACGCCTCAACATTACTTTCGATCTTTTTCCATCCTGTAAATCATGCTCATTGTTGTGTTCGTTCCCTTGTGAAACAAGCTACACACGTGTACATGGTGTATGCCTTCCACTGTCGAGCACGATACACACATACCGTGGTAGCTCACATCTCGCCGATCACAATGCTGTAACATTCTTCACTCCAGAACGTTTAAAATAATAAAACAGATGTCAGTGAAATCCTTGACGAGATTGACCATGGTGACTCCACCCATAAACCTCACAAAGGTCCCCAACCTACCCACGATGCTGTGTTTGTCGCGAGCTATGTGCGAATACGTACAACATGGGGAAGTGATCGCGAGGGGCGTGAATCGGAGACGAGTCAATGGGTGGATCACAGTACATAATTTATTAGCGGATTCATAACTAAGGACGGTACATGTAGTGGGACGATGGGTACACTACTAGTGCTGCTTCCGTGAGGCTCACGTGTGGTCTCAATGTCAGTCGAGAACGTCATGCAAGTGAGTATATTTGCTTGGGAGTGTACTAGTTGGTGGCAGCTAAGCATCACGTTCCATCACTTTCCCGGCTCCACCTCCATACTGTTCAGGCAGTACTACTACTAGTTTATAGGAGACCTTCAGGTGCATGTACATGTACATTATTGTGTGGAGATATGTGCGACTTGCAGTCTATCTGGATGGCTAATCAAACTACAGTCATTTTAATACATGTAATTACCTATCTTACTTGCCAGCCCGTGGTCGCCTCGCCAATATCCCAATGTACATGATGGTACTGCAAAGCGGAGCGGTACACACCGTTTTCAGTGTTCACTGACTTGCCCTGTAGGAAGTTGGCATTAGGCAGTCAGTACTGGTGCAAATGATACAGTGACGATTGACCAGTACTACATGTGACGATTGACCAGTACTACATGTGACGATTGACCAGTACTACATGTGACGATTGACCAGTACTACATGTGACGATTGACCAGTACTACATGTGACGATTGACCAGTACTACATGTGACGATTGACCAGTACTACATGTGACGATTGACCAGTACTACATGTGACGATTGACCAGTACTACATGTGACGATTGACCAGTACTACATGTGACGATTGACCAGTACTACATGTGACGATTGACCAGTACTACATGTGACGATTGACCAGTACTACATGTGACGATTGACCAGTACTACATGTGACGATTGACCAGTACTACATGTGACGATTGACCAGTACTACATGTGACGATTGACCAGTACTACATGTGACGATTGACCAGTACTACATGTGACGATTGACCAGTACTACATGTGACGATTGACCAGTACTACATGTGACGATTGACCAGTACTACATGTGACGATTGACCAGTACTACATGTGACGATTGACCAGTACTACATGTGACGATTGACCAGTACTACATGTGACGATTGACCAGTACTACATGTGACGATTGACCAGTACTACATGTGACGATTGACCAGTACTACATGTGACGATTGACCAGTACTACATGTGACGATTGACCAGTACTACATGTGACGATTGACCAGTACTACATGTGACGATTGACCAGTACTACATGTGACGATTGACCAGTACTACATGTGACGATTGACCAGTACTACATGTGACGATTGACCAGTACTACATGTGACGATTGACCAGTACTACATGTGACGATTGACCAGTACTACATGTGACGATTGACCAGTACTACATGTGACGATTGACCAGTACTACATGTGACGATTGACCAGTACTACATGTGACGATTGACCAGTACTACATGTGACGATTGACCAGTACTACATGTGACGATTGACCAGTACTACATGTGACGATTGACCAGTACTACATGTGACGATTGACCAGTACTACATGTGACGATTGACCAGTACTACATGTGACGATTGACCAGTACTACATGTGACGATTGACCAGTACTACATGTGACGATTGACCAGTACTACATGTGACGATTGTACTGACTGCTGCATGCTGCATGCTGCATGCTGCATGCTGCTGCCATGTCACGAGACGACCGCGCACACGCCCAGCTCATTGCAACCTGTCATGTCACTCTCAACCTTCATTCTGTCCGAGTTCCCCACTACCCGGCCCGTCGATTCTCTGGAGTAAATTTAGACCAGGCTTGGCAGATACATGTACATGTACGCCCTGGAGTCAATGGAGACGACACGAGATCACAGGACATGCATTCGACTCCAGATTTGGGACCGCTAAGTGGTATGGTGATCTTTGCAACTCACGATTGTGATCGCAGCATTGACCTGAGTCCAAGACCACAAGACTTTAGTGCTAACCACGCCATGTACAAGAGTCCGCGATGCCATTTTGCGTTCATGCCGGTAGATCGGCCCTGCCCCAAGCACGACTGGCAGGGGCAGCACCGGAAGAGAACCAAGTACTGTTATTATCTGGCCGGATTCCACTTGCCCCAACGGCAGATGTGCCTGGCGACGCCTCCAGAAAGACTGCCTACTCGCGACCTACACTGTCGAGCCCGTCCCATGACATAGTGTTATCCAGAGATGGACGTATGGGTGCCGTGTATAGCCCATAGGGCCATAGGTGATGAACATGTGCATGTTATAAAACAGCTCTGGACATCTAAAAAAATCCGGTGTTTTTGGCGCTATGAACCGATTTGAATGCCTACTCAAGATAGAGACGGACATGTTGAACACTTGAAGTGAGATGATATCGATTGTGTGGATGAGATCTACCCTGTCAAACACTAGACAGTATGATGATGTGCACACAGGGCCAGTCACAGTACATGCTACTGTATCACAGTGTACATGTACATCAACACAGCGTTACAATGTCATGACGTCGAACCATCCAAATCCATGGCCAAAACCAGCATGATTGTGTAGCACCAGCACTACACGAGTTTGCTACACTTAGCCTTGGGTTCATGGGTACATGTACCGGGTGCAGCATCACAGTTCACTGTGTAGATCATCTACTAAGTATTCTATCTACACAGTGGACAGTTGTCTATAATTATTGTTCCTACAGTATTGATATGAGTCACAGAGCAGGGAGTCGTATAAACCGGGTTTACACGACTCCCTGCTACGGAGTATCTTCTCATCACAAAGCTGAGCAGTGCATTGAAGAACCGCTCGCAACAAAACATGGCCCTCATACTCATAGTGTGTGGGTGCAGAGGGACGCTTACCAGTAGCCTAGTACATGTACATGTAGATCTAGTCCGATCTGCCGCTGCGGCCCGATGTTGACCATCTGTTCGCTTGGCTCCTCAGCACACGGATCACTTCCCACATCAACCGCCCGGCCGCACTGTCCGAGCTCCTGTACTCTCGCCGTCCGCACGTCTGTCGTTCATTGTGTGCAGCTGACGTCCGGGAAAACGTCCCAGTTTGTACCTGTAAGTTGCATTCCGGACCGGTCCGCCTCGAATCCGAAACATCTTCGGAGATAGGTAAGGGTAAGCAGGCCAAGGCTGGGGCTGAATATAGATTGTTTGGGCGGTGGTTGGGTCGTTTCTCACCTTGACTGACATGACTGCACCCTGTTTGCTGCGTCTCGAGTTTTTTTGTCGACCCTGCGTCACGTAGTGGTCGTTGAGCTGATAACAGGGCATAACAGTCGATGGCGGCAGATCAAACCCCACTGCTCGGTCTGTGAACGAACACTGCTGCTTCATACTACAGTATCAAGATCCATACGATTTCCATTCATGGTCTAATGATTATGATTGTTGTCTTCTTGAAATGAATGGCATAGCGATGCCGTCAGAAAGCACCAAACAGCCGATAGGATCCGTAGTCAATAGCCAAAGTCTCTACCCACTCACGGTTCGGACTACACTCTAAAGAAAGATGTTCGGTCTCTGTGTCTCGTCTTGTCCTGCCTGGCCCCCTCGCCTCGGTCTTGTTGCATAACGCTTTGTGGGCCATTGTCCGTTGGCTCCTCATGCATGTGTGCATGTGTGGTGTTGCTTTGAAAGAGAGTAAAATAAGTCACATTAGTGAC